GGTAATGGGAGGCTTTGGGCCTGGGGGGGGCTGCAGCCATCGCTGCCCAGTGAGGCACTGGGCTCTGCGGGCTCAGGCAGGGCCTGGGATGTAAATAAAGGGTTCACACCATCACCCTGCTCTGGGTGCTGCCGGGGGGGGGGGCAGGAAGTGCCCGGGACCGTGGGGTGGGGGCCGTTAGGAGCCTGGTGCTAAGTGGCTCTGGGGGCTTTGGTGACGCCAGGCCCCAGCCCCTCTGTCTGACGGCTGCGTGTGAGCTCTCCTGCTGGGCCCCTGCCCTGCTTGGGCGCTGCTGTGAGCACCCCCTGCACTGTGTGACCCCCCCGGCAGCCTCTGCAGGACAGGGCAGGAGGCACCGGTGTGGGCATGGTGTGCAAACGGGTGCTACAGCCGCACACCATGGGACACCCGGGTCCCCAAGGGATGGAGCTGGATGGTCCCAGCAGCCCCAGTGCCAAACCCTTGCAGGGAAGGGGCAGGAGCTGCCTTTCCCGGTATTTGGGGGGGGGGGGCTGGAGGAGCCCCCCAGGTGGTGGGTCTCTCCATCACCCTTAGGGACAGCTCTGGGCTGCGAGTGCCCCTGGCTCGGAGGCAGTGCCTGGCGCTTATGGGGGTACCAGCCCATGGGGTGCCTTGGTTCCGGAGGCACTGGAGCTGGGGCGCAGCGATCGGGGTCCCGCAGTAATGACCCGAGTTGCAGCAGTGCACAGCAGCTTTATTGAGGACCCCAGCCCCGGTGTCCATCCAGCACGGCCACAACCCCGTCCCCTGCGCAGCCTCTGTGGCCAGGGATGCAGGATCAGCTCCAGCCCCCCCAGTGCCGTGCTGGGGGGCAGCCAGGCAGGACTGAGGCTGTGTGGGGCACTGCAGCGAGGATTCTGTCCGGAGCTGGTGGGATGCAGAGCTGTGTGGGAAGAGCTGTGTGAGGTGAGAGGCTGCAGGAAGGCACCGTGGCCCTGTCCAGCACCCCGAGTCCCTGCCCAGCTCCCTGTGTCCCTCACCTCTGGCCCCACATCCTGTGCCCCATCCCGCACACTCATTCTCTGGCTCAGCACACGTCGAGCTGTGCCACAAGCCCAGGCAAACACCCTGGCCATGCCGTGGGGGGGATTTATAGATGAAGCCCGTCCCGCACCCCATAAAGAGTATCCACACCCCTGCCCACCCATCCTTGGGCTCTCTCCCAGCCCCGGGGCGGGGGGGGGGGGGCGGGAGGAGGGAATGGGGATGAGGCTGTGAGTACCTGGAGGTGTGCGGGCAACTGGGAGCCAGGCGCTGGGGTCGCAGGGGGACCTGTGTCCGTCAGTCCCGCCGTGGGAGGCTGAGGAGGGGCTGCAGGCTCCAAGCAGCAGGAGGAAGCTGGAGCTGTGCCCGTGGCCGGGGTGCGTCTCTGGGGGGGCTGCAGGGAGGTCACTGCTCCGAGGCTGCACAGCGGGGACGACCAGGACCTTGAGGTGGAGCCAGGGCTCCCGTGCAGCTCCGGGGGGGTCCTCACCGAAGGGATGTAGGGGGGCGAGCCCCAGGCTCCCGGCCCCAGGTCTGGAACCCCAAGCACCTCCGGGGGGGGCCCTGCTGCAGCGCCACAGGGAGGCGACGACCCCCAGGCCCCCGGCCCCACGCCGGCAGCCCCGAGCAGCTCCGGCGGGGGCCCGGCCACGGGAGGTGACCCCCAGCCCGCAGCGCCGGGGGGCGAAGCATCGCGCGGGGCCGGTGCGGGCGGGAGCGGGCGGGGGTCCGGGCTCCGGCAGCACCCCAGGCCCTGGGGGCAGAGCGGGCAGTGCCGGGGCGCCGCCCCCCGCCGCCGGGCCAGCGCCTCCTCGCTGAGCCCCAGCAGCGCCGAGAGGTGCGCGATGTAGCGGGCGGCCAGGCGCAGGGTCTCGATCTTGGTGAGGCTCTGCCCGGCGGGCGCCAGCGCGGGCGGCAGGTAGTGCCGCAGCCGCAGCAGGGCCTGCGCCAGCCGCCGCATCCGCAGCTTCTCCCGCTCGCTGGCGCTCTGCCGCGGGCCCCGCTCCCCGCACCGCCACGGCTCGGCCCCGGGCCCCGGGCGCCGGCCCCGCGGGGGGCAGCGGGACGTGCCGTGGGGAGCGGCGGGAGTTGGGGGGGTGGCATCGTCGGGGCCCCGCAGAGGGGCACCGTGTCCCGGGAGCTGGAAGCCGCAGGGCAGGAGCGGGGCTGGGGGTCCGGCCATGGCTCCGCTGCCCGGGACTAGGGGTGCCCCGGCTTTATGCGACGTGATGTCTTTGTGGCCGCCCGGAGGTGTCAAAACCTACAGAGCCGGGTTGGGGCCGGCCGGGAGCCTGGGAATGCCGGACCCATTTGCAGAGGTGTCAGTTCTGACTCCTCCGACCCTTAATTGGCGCTGCCCGGCGCTGGGAAGTGTGCAGGAACCAATTCACACGGCCATGAGAGATGCTAACGCGTCCACCAGCCCTGCCAAGCCCTCATCGCCTTGCACGGAAGCCCTGCCAGTGGGACTTGACCTTCCAGTGCTGGCACCCTAACACCCAGCGGTGTCCCCACACCTCCCCAGGGCCAGGAGCCCTTGCTGTGCCCACAGCTCAAACCAAGTGCCCTGAGGGGCAGGGATGTGCTGGGCACCAGTGGTAGGATGAGAATGGAATCACAGAATCCCAGACTGGTTTGGGTTGAAGGGACCTTAAAGCCCATCCAGCTCCAACCCCTGTCACGGGCAGGGACCCCTTCCACTGGAGCAGCTTGCTCCAAGCCCCTGTGCCCACCCTGGCCTTGAGCACTGCCAGGGATGGGGCAGCCACAGCTTCTCTGGGCACCCTGTGCCAGCGCCTCAGCACCCCACAGGGAAGAGCTTCTGCCTAAGAGCTCATCTCAGTCTCCCCTCTGGCAGGTTAAAGCCATTCCCCTTGGCCTGTCCCTACAGGCCCTTGTCCAAAGCCCCTCTCCAGGTTTCCTGCAGCCCCTTTAGGCACTGGAGCTTCTATTCTCCAGTCGAACACCCCTGGCTCTCAGCCTGGCTCCAGAACACAGCTGCTCCAGGCCTCGGAGCATCTCCATGGCCTTCTCTGGACATATTCCTTTCCCAGGAGGCATCCCTGTGCTGGCTGCACTGATTTCGTCTTCCTGACCCACTGTATGAAACCCAGGCTGTGGACTGGGTTCCTAGTGGGCAGCCCCATGGGGATGTTGAGCTCTTTGGGATGCTTGTTTCCTGGGATGCTTTTATATCCCTCACCCCTGGGCCTGGCACTATCCTTGCCAGCGGTCCCCATCCTAGCTGAGGGTACAAGAGTGCACAGCCAGGGCTGGGAGCCATGCAGACAGAGGTGCTGGAGCAGGGACCGTGAGTCCCAGGAGGATATCAAGGTGCTCTGGGGAGGCTCCCTGGTGGGATTCCTTATTGGAGGACTGGCTGCTCCTGGGGCACAGGAGGGCTTTGGCCAGCAGCACCATGAGAAGCCCTGGGGCTAAGCTCCATTCCTGTGCCCTCACCACCACCCTAAGGTCCTAAACGTGCCAGAGGGATGTGGGGGGATCCATCTCCCCTGAAGGGTGGGGGGCTGCTGGCTGTCCCTCGCGGGGCTCTGACCCCACATCAGCGCTGTCACGGCCCAGCCGTGCTCCAGCACTTGTCTAAACAGAGGGAGTTGGGAAGCGGCCGCAGCGGGGCCGCAGAACTCATTACCCGGGAGCTCATCAGCTAATGAGACCCAGGAGGGGGCCCGGGAATGGGCGGGGGAGCGGAGGTGGGGCAGCACTAGGGGCACAGGGGAAGGGGCCGTGCCCTGGGCTGTGCTGTTGCGTGCTGAGCACCCCGCAGAGCGCCCTGGACCCCCACTGCAGCCCCCAGGGATGGAGACGGGCTCTGGGACAGCATCAGACGTGTGCACCCAGAGACGTGCTGGGGGTCCGGGTAGGTACCAGCACCCTCGGGCCTTGGATGGGGCATGGCGCTTCCTCCAGCAGCACCGGGCCGAGTGCCATGGCACGCGTGGTGGCATGAGGGGACCACAGCAGGTCAGTGTCCCGTCCCCACTGCCCATGCACCGCTGGACCCCTGGAGCTCTGGACACCCGCACAGCGGGGCCGGGGGCCGGGGCTGCCCAGGCTGAGCCGTGTGCCGGGTTCCAGTGTGGCAGGAGCGCTCAGGCAGCAGTGAACGATAAGCAGGGCTTTTGTCACCTCCATCTCACGGCATTGCCAGGGAAAACTGAGCAAGTTTCATGTGACCGCTAGGAAAAACGAGCCCGTGAGCAACGAGGCGCTGATCAGCCGCTGTGTCACCAGCAGTTCCCCGGGGAGGGGCTGCCCTGTCACCCCACTGCTGGCTCCATGCCCCGTTCCCAGCTCTGCTCCTGGTGCCTGATTTTATACAGGGGCGCTTGCCCCTCCGGTTGCGGGGGGTGCCGAACCCCGCCGTACCCCGGGCTGTGCTGCGGGGTCCCCATGCTGGGGTTCCCGTGCTGGGCTCCACGTGCCGGTGCCGCCCCCGCCCGCTCCCTGATGGATTTTCCTTCCCGCGCGGGGCCGGTTTCCCTGGAAACGTTCGCACCCGCCGGCACCGACACCTGCGGGGCCTGGGAACGCGGCGGGGGGGCCCCTCACACACCCCCCCCCCCCCGTGGGGTCACCGCGCCCGGGGCCGCCCCTCGCAGCGCTCCGGCACCGGCACTGGGCTGCAGCCGCTCTCCCGATGGGTGACTACGGAGCGCAGCTAGTGGGGACCTGGAGGGGGCGGCCCCGGGTGCGGTGCCCCCGGAGGCACCCTGTGTGGTGGTGGACGTGGGCCCCCCGAGCTGGCACTTCTGCAGCTTGCACCCCAGTGCAGACCCTATAGGACACCCCACTGCAGCCCCCACCGCTCACCCCACTGCAGCCCCCACCGCTCACCCCACTGCCCAGGGCCCAAGCCTATCCTCGGAACAAGAGGCAGGGTGATGGTTGGCGGGGAGGGGGTAGGCAGCCAGAGCAGCCCCACAGCTCTGGGGTGAGATTTGTCACCCCCGTGTTCAGAGCCCTCGCCCCCCACCCCGGCCTTTGAAGTGCTGCTGGTGGCGGCCACGGAGGTGCCACTTCACACCTCGGACTCGCATAAAGGCGAGGCCGGCCGGGAGACGCCGGCACACGGCCCCGCAGCAGCAGCCATGGCAGCCCCCGGCCTCCCGCTGCCCCCCACATCCCTGCTGCAGCACTGGGGCTGCCGCGGGCCCCCGGACCCCGAGGGCTACAGCAGCAGCTCGCCCGCAGCCTCGCCCGACTCCTGCGGCCTCTCATCGCCCGCCGCTGCCCGGGGACCCCGGAGCGGCCCCGCTGCCCCTCGCGGCCCCAGGGGCAGGAAGGGAGCGCGGGGAGCGGGGGGCCCGCGGCAGAGCGCCAGCGAGCGGGAGAAGCTGCGGATGCGGCGGCTGGCGCAGGCCCTGCTGCGGCTGCGGCACTACCTGCCGCCCGCGCTGGCGCCCGCCGGGCAGAGCCTCACCAAGATCGAGACCCTGCGCCTGGCCGCCCGCTACATCGCGCACCTCTCGGCGCTGCTGGGGCTCAGCGAGGAGGCGCTGGCCCGGCGGCGGGGGGCGGCGCCCCGGCACTGCCCGCTCTGCCCCCAGGGCCTGGGGTGCTGCCGGAGCCCGGACCCCCGCCCGCTCCCGCCCGCACCGGCCCCGCGCGATGCTTCGCCCCCCGGCGCTGCGGGCTGGGGGTCACCTCCCGTGGCCGGGCCCCCGCCGGAGCTGCTCGGGGCTGCCGGCGTGGGGCCGGGGGCCTGGGGGTCGTCGCCTCCCTGTGGCGCTGCAGCAGGGCCCCCCCCGGAGGTGCTTGGGGTTCCAGACCTGGGGCCGGGAGCCTGGGGCTCGCCCCCCTACATCCCTTCGGTGAGGACCCCCCCGGAGCTGCACGGGAGCGCCGTCACCTCCGACACGTGTTCGTGGCCATCCCCCCTTCATGGGGCAGGAGCTCCTCCTGACCTCCCTGGAGACGCCCTCCTGGATGCGGGGCTGATGCTGCCAGAGTTTGTGGATGCAGGGACTGTCACCCAGGTACGTGGCTGGGGTGAGCCCATGGGCACAGGTCACTCCCTTGTGCACTCAGAGCTTGGGGCACTGTGAGGACCAGATCTGGGGTGACAACAGCCTTGTCTGGGGTTAGGAAGGGGAAGGTGTCCCTGCCCTCCCTGTAGCGGGTGCATGCGGGTCCCTGACCCTCCCCAGTGCCACCCTCCCTCGTATTCAGCTGGTCCCATTGTGGATGGGCTCTACCAACCGCCCCAAGCTCCTGTCCTGGCTGGTCCCCCTCTGACCCATGCTCTGCTCCCCAGGACCTGTCTGCAGACCTGCTCTCCCTTTTGGAAGCCCTGCTCCCGTCACAGCGCCAGGACTGACCCAGTCAAACCCCAGCTGCCCGGTGCCATGTGGCCCCATGATGCACTACATGGATGAAACAGCTCGTGGGACCGTGTCTCCTCTTGGACAGTGGGGGGGCGGTGGGAAGGAGCTGCCTCTCATGTGGGCCTGGAGCTGTGCTGGACACGCTGGGGTGCTGCGACTGTACATAAATAAACCCTCGTGCCCCTCCATGTGTCACCGTGTGGTGTTCCCACCGCAGGAGCCAGGTACAGGATGGGATGCTCCATTCCAGGGTCACTGCATTGGCTCTGGGGTCAGGTTTGGGCACAGGAGAGGATGCCCAAGCTGGTGAACTCATGCTCTGCAGACAGGCCGGGCACAGGCATCTCACCGGGCTCTGGTGTGGGTACAAGCATTGCCTGGCTGGGCTGCAGAGGTTGGGGACTGCTGCTCGGGCAGGCTGGACCACATCTGGGAAAGGCATTGTGGGGAGGCTGAGGAGGAATGGGGGTCACCAACACCCTCGGGTCCAGCTCTGCGGCTCGGTGTGAGCTGGGCATTGCCCGCCCCCCGTGCTGGTGCGAGCCCCACAGCACAAAGTGAAATGTGGGTGTTGAGGATCCAGCAACAGGCTGGGGCGTGGGGCTGACCCCCCCCCCCCCAACGGGGCTGGAGACCCCGCAGACAGAGCGGAGGGGGGGGGGGGGGAGTTACAGGGGAACCTCCTCCATGGGGGTCCCCCATTAATGGGACTGTGCTGGGGCTTGCAGCTGGGTGCGAACGCGCCGGGGCTCTGGGGCTGGGGCCTGCGGGGCTAATGAGCGGAGCTTATCTGTGAAATGACTCGCTAATTACGTTAATTCCCTCTGCCGAGGCGGGCGAAGCCTTTGAGATGCAAAACAGCCCCCGTCTGCGGATGTCCCCAGCCAGGGCTCAAGGGAGCTGGGGCGCTCCGGCTGTGGGGACATCCCTGCTGCCCTGAGCACCTACCCTGCTCCTGGGGGCTGACCGGGGGGTTCTATGGGGCAGGCAGCTGCGCAGGGTGCTCAGCAGGGGCCCTGCTCCATTAGGGTGGGATCAGGGATGAGCCGGTGGAGCGGGAGCGGGTATGGAGGGGCTCGGACTGCAGGCAGAGCTGTCCGTGCACATCCACATCCATATCCATGTTCTGCATCTGTGAGTGCATCAACAGAACGGTGAACCTGGGTCTGTGTGTGTGTGTGCGTGTGTACACGAGCTCTGTGCACACTCAGGGGGTGGTGCAGGGTGCAGGACTGAGCTGTTCCCAGCTGGGCTACGTCAAGGAGGAACCTGAGCTACCAGCCAAGGGCACCCAGAGCTGCCTGCCAAGTGTCTCCTGGCAGCGGGTGCAGAGGTGCTGCGGGTGCCGGAGCCAGCAGAACCTTCCCCACTCATTCACCAGGCACAGCGCGGGTGTGGACGAGCAGTCACCCTGCCATGGCTGGACAGGACACCCTGGCTGGAGGTGAGGTGGTGGTGCTGGTGGGGAGCGGGGGCTGGTTCCCTTGGGAACTCTGGAATTGCGTGCCAGTGTCTCCATCCCCATGCAGGACCACAAGGGATGCTCCAGGCTGCGGGATGATGGGCAGCACTTGGGGTCAGCCAAGACTGTTTCACTCTGCCCTCTTTGGTGCCAAGGACCCCTGTGGCAATGTGAGGGGCTCGGGGGGAGCAGCGGGGATGGAGGGAGCAGCTGAAGGGGGAGGCAGTGAGCTGGGGGGGAGCTGAGGTGCAGACACCGTGGTGTGGGGCAGGGAGCAGGGCTCCGAGGGACCCATCCCCCCGGAGCCCGCATCCCAGGCTGCCTGTTGCCGCAGGAGGCGGCCATCTGGACGCAGACGCTATGGGGAACGCCAGCGTGGAGCCCCCCAGCAGCGTGGGCGCCCTGCATCAGGGCTGCGCCTGGACCCTCCCGGCGGAGGGGGCTGAGGAGGCGCTGCGGGTGCCCACGTTCTCACCCGCTGCCCAGGCGCGTGTGGCCATCACCTTTGCCCTGTTCGCCCTCTCCGCCGGCTGCAACCTGGCGGTGCTGCGTGCGGCGGGGGCCCGGCGCGGGGCCCGGCGCTCCCACGTCCGCCTGCTGCTGCAGCACCTCGCTGCTGCCGACCTGCTGCTCACCGTGGCCGTGATGCCGCTGGACGCCATCTGGAACATCACGCTGCAGTGGCGGGCGGGCGACCTGGCCTGCCGCCTCCTCATGTACCTCCGGCTGCTGGCCATGTACGCCTCTGCCTTCGTCACCGTCGTCATCAGCCTGGACCGGCAGGCTGCCATCCTGCGCCCGCTGGCCATCGCCCGTGCCCGGAGGAGGAACCGCATCATGCTGCAGGTCGCCTGGCTCCTCAGCGCGGTGCTCTCAGCACCACAGGTACCAGCGCAGGGCTCCGCTCCGGCTCATGCCCCATGGAAGGCTCCCACCCTTCCAGGGTGCCCGCCTGGGTTAATCCCAGGGCCGGTGCTGCCGTGAGCCCCGCAGGACAGGGATGGAGAGGGCTTGGAGGAGAGGCAGCCGAGTGCCCTCCTCTGTGTGCCACGATTCCCTGGGAGTGGGGAGCCCGTCTGGTGCATGCGTGACTCCGGGTCCCACTCTGATGACCAGGGCCTGACCCTGTGGCTCCAATAGTCCCTGGCTTGGATACTGGTGTTCTACCTTAGGGAGGCCTGGAGCCCCTGGAGAGGGGGCCGCCATCCCACCTCTGCTTTGCCTCCAGCTCTTCCTCTTCCGCACGGTCACAATCACCATCCACCCCCTGCACAACTTCACGCAGTGCACCACGCTTGGCAGCTTTGCCCAGCCCTGGCATGAGACCTTCTACAACATGCTGGGCTTCACCTGCCTCTTCCTGCTCCCACTGCTCATCATGGTCTGCTGCTACACCCGCATCCTCCTGGAGATCTCCCGGCGCATGGGCTCCAGCCTCTGTGAGTGCCCGAGATGCCGTGACCCCGTGCCTGGGGGCTCTGCAGGGACACTGGGATGGGGAGAGCAGGAGGGAGCCCTGGCTGGAGCTGTGTGGGGTCCCCGCAGCCCTCCCTTAGGGAATGGGGTCCCCATTCCAGACAGGCTGCTCAGTGTCCCCCACTGAGGCCATGGTCTCCCTCAGTCTCCTCCCAGGATGCATCGCTGCGGTGCTCCAGGAACAACATCCCCAGAGCACGGCTGCGTATGCTGAAGATGAGCCTGGTCATCGTCTCCTCCTTCATCCTCTGCTGGACTCCCTACTACCTGCTGGGGCTGTGGTACTGGTTCTGCCCCCGGGCCATGGAGAAGAGGGTCTCGCCCGCCCTCGCCCACATCCTCTTCATCTTTGGCCTCTTCAACGCGTGTCTGGACCCCATCACCTACGGACTCTTCACTATCCCCTTCCGGAGGGGCTGGGGCTGCCCCTTTGGGCACAGACCCAAGCCCCAGCCGCCCTCCCTGGCCACCGGCTCCTTCCACTGCTCGGCCTCGTCCCTTCCGCAGCAGCGGGAGCTGCCCGCAGGCGCCGGCTCCTGACACTGCAGCTCCCTGTGAGGGGGCACGGCCCCGCGCAGTGGGGACGCCCCGGGGTGCTCAGCTTGGGGGACAGCAGCAGTAGGACAGGTCTGCCAGGGTTTGGGGAGTCACTGCCGCTGCCTGCACCCCAAAGCGCCTCTGCCGGTGGTGGGGCTGCTGCGGGTGCCCCCAGCCCCTTTTTCTGCCTGCCAAGCTCTGTGTGGCAATAAAGCACCCCATGGCCGCTTCCTGCCCTGCCTGCGTCCCTGGTCGAGTTGGGCTGGGGTCCGCAGAGCCCCGGCTCACCGTCGCTGGCAAGGTGGCTGGTCTGGAGCTGGTCCTGGCTGCTCCATCCCTGCCATGGGGTGGTCCCAGTGCAGGGCAGACCCCAGGGTGCGCAGGGGGTGTCCAGGGCTGGTGCCGTGCCCCGCAGCGGCTCCTGGTCCCAGTGGGGCCCATGGCTGCAGCCTCGCTCCGCACGGGAGCTCCCGGCTCCCGCTGAAGGTCACTGCGAGGCCCCGGCTGCTCCCGGCTGCGCGGCAGCTGCCCAAGGCCGGCGCTGCCGCAGGAGCCCTGGGGAGCGCGAGCGGCAGCTTCACTGCAGCCAGGACTGAGGCAAGCGGCCGACCCCAGGCAGCGTCTCTGGGGCTCCCCCTTTGCTGCAGTGGGTGCTGGGCTCCCTCAGCACCTCCATCCCTGCTGCAGGCGGGACCCGGAGCTGCGCGTCCCGGGAGCGGTGCCCAGCGCAGCCGCGGTCGCAGGGTTTATTGGGAAGTAGCAAAGCAAAGAACCAGTGGTGCTGCTCCTGGGGGTCTCTGCCTTGAGGGGCTCCAGCGAATGGGGCTGCAGTCCCAGGGGCACAGGGGATCCTTGCTGTGGCTGGGCAGGGATAGGGCTTCCTTGGGATGGACGAGGCAGAGCTGTGCCCACTGCTGCTGGGATGTGCAGGGGGGACAAGCCCCAGGTGTGGATGATGGTAAGTATGAAACTAACAGTCTGGAATACTTAAAGGGGTGACAACTTGGAGAGGGGCTTTGCACAAGGGCCTGTAGGGACAGGCCAAGGGGAATGGCTTTAACCTGCCAGAGGGGAGACTGAGATGAGCTCTTAGGCAGAAGCTCTTCCCTGTGAGGGTGCTGAGGCGCTGGCACAGGGTGCCCAGAGAAGCTGTGGCTGCCCCATCCCTGGCAGTGTTCAAGGCCAGGTTGGACACAGGGGCTTGGAGCAAGCTGCTCCAGTGGAAGGGGTCCCTGCCTGTGACAGGGTTTGGAAGTGGATGAACTTTAAGGGCCCTTCAACCCAAACCATTCCATGATTCTGTGATCTTGCATAGGGCACATCACTTGCTCCTGTGGCAGAGAAAGGCCTGAGCAATACTGTAAGGATAGGGACTTGGAAACCAATGGGAACCACAGGACCCATCAAGTGACGGGAATCACCAAGCAATGAGCTCCAGCTGAAACCTCGGCTGTTTATGAGTCAGCAGCTCCTGGGATACTGCTGAGGCTCTTTCCCCCATGTTCTGACAGTGTAGCAGTTGTTGGACAAGGGTCTGGAGGGTTGATGCTGCTCCAGGACACCCACCCGCTCCCCCAGGGAAGCTGGAGAGCAGACACAGACCGGCCGGAAGAGGGGACAGAGCCACAGGCAGGGCAATGCAGTGGGAGGTGATGCTGGGGAGCCTGCCAGGGGATGCCTATACTTGGGTGACTGTTTCCCACCCAACTCAGCAGCATCACGGCATCCCCTGCTCCCTGCAGCGCCCTCCCCGCAGCAGCACCTTGCAGAGCACGAGGTGACCCAGGAGAACGCTGCTGCCCGCTCCCCGCGCAGCTCAGCACGGCGTGGCTGAGGCTCTAGGTGCTGGTGCTGCCGCTGCCGGGGCGCTTCTCAGTGAAGAAGCTTTTGAGCAGCAGCACTTGCCCAATGCTGACCACAAAGAGGATGAGGGTTTCCCCGACCGACCAGTACGAGACCCGGCCGTTGAGGTCCTCGGCTCTGCTCCGGTCCTGTGCTTCCCGCAAGCGGTAATGGGTCTGGGAGTCGATCACCGTGTTCAGCGCCTCGTGGATGGTGACGCAGGCAGACTCCATCTGGGGAGACAAGCACATTCCAGCGCTCCTGCTGCGGCACGGTGCTGAGGACAGTGCTGGGACACCCAGGGCATGGCAGCAGTGCCCTGAGCTGCTGGGTCTCTGCCAGCTGAGCTCTGCCCAAAGGGGCAACGCTGGAGACCTCCCAGTGAAGGGAACCCACTGCAGGCACCACAGCACAACTGAGAGGCACTGGGGCTGGTCCAGCCCTGTTTTGCTTCCCATGTGTGGGATGGGAGCCGGGTGCTCCAGTTGGAGCAGGCTCAGGCCTGGAGCAGCCCCCCCATCCCTCCCTGGGAGCAGGATGTGGCCTGCATGGCATGGGGTGAGTGGCTGGCGGTTGGCACTTCTGCATTCGGCAGAGGGGAAGGGGCACGAGCCCCAGGCACTGTCCCGTGGGGCCTTTTGGCCACAAGTGGGAGCTGCGGTAGGACCTTCCCCCCATGGCAGCCCCATGTCACTGTGCAGGGACCTACCTGCGTCAGCGCGGTGACGCGGTTGCTCATGTCGGGCAGGATCGGGGGCTCGTCGCCCACCTGGAAGTCGAAGTAGACGGTTTTGTGGGAGAAGGTGGAGAATTCGTTGCTGAAGCAGAAGGTGTAGACACCCTGGACTTCAGTACGGTGCGGGAAGCTGTCGTACTGCTTCTTGGTCTCCTTGTAGATCGTCCTGCCATTGGGGTCCTCCACGTAGCAGTCCACATCGTAGTGTCCGCCGGTGATCACCTGCGCAAGGAGATGCAGCAGCACATGCCAAAATCTGAGGTGAGAGCACGTGCCTTTGCCCATACCTCACATGGCCAGCCTAGACTGAGGGAGCACTGGGGAAGTTGCACCCTGCAGGGCACACAGCTCAAGTGGGGTGTCGCAGCTCAGGGTGGGATGCGCGGGTCCAGCCCTGGGTCAGGGGCTCCTGTGGTCACATCCCAGTGCTTGCTCCAAGACAGGCACCACTGGGCATGAGAACAGGGCTGGGAATTGGTCGCGGTGCAGTGCAGGGGGAGATGGGAACTGCATGGGAAAGGTGAAGGTGCAGCCCTGCCAGGGGCTCTGTGGGACATGGGAGGGAGCACAGAGTTGCGGGTATGTGGAGAGGGTGACGGGCACAAGCAGGGGGCGACGGTATGGGCAGGGCAGGGACATGGGGCTTGGGGGTTGGACAGAGGGCAGCGGGCACAAGAAGGGGCAGGGGCGCGGGCAGGGGCGCAGGCAGGGGCGCGGGCAGGGCAGTACCTGGTAGTCCAGCGTGAACTTGAGGCCGCGCTCCAGCTCCTGGTGGAAGCACTGCCGGTCGCTGTCGGGCAGCTCGAACGTCAGCTCGGTGCCGCCGGCCCGCAGCGCGCCCAGCACCGACACCAGCATCAGCAGCGGCAGCGCCCGCATCCCGGCCCGCATCCCGCCGCTCCCGCCCCGCCTGACGTGGCGCGCACCCGGCACCGCCACCGGCCGCGCTTCCGCTGGGGGCGGCTCCGGCGCCACCTCCCCGCCCCCGGGGCCGGGCAGGCGCAGCGGAGGGGCCGGTGGGGCGGGACCCACGGCGGGACCCGGGGCGGCACCGCGCCGGCATCCCCGGGAGCCCGCCCGTCCTGAGCGCCACGGAACGAGCGTGTGGGAGCGCTGCCCGTGTCTGTTCCCATGGGAGAGAGAGCTCGGGGAGAGCCCGCGGGTGACCCGCGTCAGGCTGGTGGTGGTCAACGAGAAGAGGGCTCCTGAGAGCAGCTCCAGGGCCTGAAGGGGCTGCGGGAAAGCTGGAGAGGGGCTTGGGACAGGGGCCTGTAGGGACAGGCCAAGGGGAATGGCTTTAACCTGCCCGAGGGGAGACTGAGCTGAGCTCTTAGGCAGAAGCTCTTCCCTGGGAGGGTGCTGAGGCGCTGGCACAGGGTGCCCAGAGAAGCTGTGGCTGCCCCATCCCTGGCAGTGCTCAAGGCCAGGTTGGACACAGGGGCTTGGAGCAAGCTGCTCCAGTGGAAGGGGTCCCTGCCCGTGGCAGGGGTTGGAGCTGCAGGAGCTTTAAGGTCCCTTCAACCCAAATCTGTGGTTCTATGACCTAATTTCTGCAGATATCCCACCTCCAACCGCTGCCCAAAGGCATCAAACATTTTTTTTAAGAAAAAGAAGACAAACACAAAATATGAGGGTATTTAGTAACGAATGGAGGAGGTGAACAACAGGATTTCAAATTCACACTCTGAAAGACAAATGTCACTTACAGCGCAAACATGCCTGAAATTCAGAGACATTTGACCTAAGTAGAAACTTTAAGGCTGTAAAAATATAACACACCCCCCCCCCCCCCCCCTTTGCTCTAAGCCACACATGTAAACCTCAAACGGTCCTAGAGAACACCCCTGGGCTGTTACAGCCAAAGCCCGGCTCTGCCTTGTGCAAGGCTCTGCAGCAGCCTGTTGAGCACTGGCTCGTGCCCTGGGCAGGGCACCGGGTCCTCGCCAGCCGTGTGGGTGGATGGATGGATGGATGGATGGATGGATGGATGGATGGATGGATAGACAGCTGGAGCACGTGTGGGTGAGGCAAGAGCCGAACCTGCAGCAGTGGGTGTCAAAGCCCTGCTGCCTGTGCAGTGGTGCCAGGACACGTTAGCCCTCACTAGGGTACAGACCCCAGTACTCACTGGGCAGTGGTGCAGGGCCCTGGGCTGGCTCCCTCCATGCCACCAGCTCCGTGTGGTCGGTTCAGCGGAGGCTGGTGGCAGCTATGGCACATCCAGCCCATGGTCCTGTGGCGTGGGGGACAAGCAGAGCTCCCCACAGAGCCCGGCTGAGAATGGGGCCCTGCAGTGCCCGATTGCACTGCCCTGATGGTGCAGAGCTGCCTGGGCTGCCGGTGCAGGATGCCACATGTCCCACAGCAGGGTGCCACATGTCCTGTCTGCAGGGCAGGGCCATGGGGTCCCCAGCCCTGGGAGGGAGCCGCAGTTGTACCCCCATCTCCAGCTATGTGGGTGTGTTTGCTGGCTTGGGCTCATGCTGCCTGGGGGTGAGCCTGTGCAGAGCTGCTGCAGACCCCAGCGTTGGGCAGAAGCTCCCCACGTAAAAAGCAGCACTCCCAGTCCTGGAATTCAGTGCAGTGGGAAATGCCCCTGAACCTTGGTCACTGCAGAGATGGAGATAAACCCGCTCCAAGCCAGTCACCAGCCTGCAGCAACGATGGGTGAGCTCAGCTTCTGGAGTTCCAGTGCCTGGAGGTGTCTGAGGTCGAGAGCTGTCTCCCTCTCCAGCACAGCTAGGTACCAATACATTCAATTGCTAGGAATGGGTGCTCTTCCAAGCACCCGCAGCATTAAGCTCTTCCCCCTGGCAGGCACTTCACACACACATCACCCCACAGCTCACTTGTGTGTGGCTCCACACAGGTTTCTATGTCTGAACGAGCTGGGTGGAAGAAAAATAGGTTATAAATCATGAGGAATAAGCGACCTGCAGGCAGGAGCCAGTGTGTGAAGCCGAACGATCTCAGATGGTCTGGGACTGACCTCTCAGGTCATCACTCCTGGGGAAAGGTCCAGAAGAGACTGGAATACGAGAGGCTCCAGCTGCCTGGGCTGGGTACCCGGGCTCCCCGCACAGCTCCAGCAAGTGGGAGCAGGAGCCTCCCGGTTGAGCCCCTGGGCACAGGTCTGGTCCCTGTGGTCACCAGCGCTTCCCTGGAGCTGGGTGACGCGGGAACCATCACGTTTCTGCGTTGACAGCACTGGTTTGGTGAGCTCTGCGGGAAGCAAATGGTGATGTGGCTACTGGGCCACGACTTCCTCGAAATCAGAGAGCTGCCGCATCTGCTCCGCCTGCATGGAATGTCTCCGGAGCAGCTTCCTTCTGGCTCGCAAGTCTCCCCACCTGGGTGAGCTGGGAGTGAAGGACACCAGAGCCTTCAGGCCAGCAGCCAGCGGGGAGGGGGCTTTGCTGCTGGCGCCGATGTCGGGGATGGGGGGGTTGGGGTTCACGTTCAGGGGGGGCAGGTATCCGGGCCTGCTGTGCGCGATGTGGTCCAGCAGCAGGGTGCCGGAGCCTCTCCTCTCCAGCAAGCCGGGCGGCCGGCGCCGCATGGGCCTGGGAGAGGTGCCAGCGCTGCTGTCCAGGGCGTCCCGGGAGCCGTCCAGCGAGGCCGCGTGGGGCCCACTGAGCCTCCTGCGCTCCAATGGCCCCTTCCCATCGGCCGGGCCGGGGATGCCGCAGAGCTGGGGCTCGTCGTCGTGGTGCTCGGCGCTGAGCCGCCGCCAGCGCAGCGCCGCGGCCGGGCCCTCCGGCTCCTCGGGCACCGCGCTCCTGCGGGGCAGGCGCTGCACCGCGGCCGGGCTCTTCTCGAACGCTGCCTTCCTCAGCGGCGCCCTCGGAGCCGGGTCGTCCACCGGCGGCAGGAGGGACGGGTCCTTGCTCCTGCTGCCGCCGCGGGCGGGAGGAGCCTTTTTGGAGAGCGAGAGGTCGCTGATGCCCGTGATCACCTCCTCATCCGCACCCACCCGTGAATCATCGTGGTGTGTGGAGGCTGCCAGCACCGAGGGTGCCACAAGGCCCCACGGCTCCGAGCGCAGCCGCTTGAGCCGGGGCAGCCGGGCTCTGTGGGCTGCCCCTGTGTGCTGCCCTGGGGAGGGCGGCTCGTTGGCACAGGGGCTGTCCCCAGGGTGCGATGGGAAGATGCTGCTCTCCTCCTCAGCAGGGGAAGGTGCTGAGATGGGAGCTTTCGGGTGGGTGCTGGGGGGTGCTGTGCGTGCCTCGGGGAGGCTCCTCTCCTTGAAGTCCAGCAAGGGTGGCATGTTCAGGTATTGCTTGGCTGTCTTGGTGCCAGAGGCAGATTTGTCCATGGTGATGATGATCACCTCCTTCCCTTTGGCTTTGCAGGCATTCAGGAGGTGCTGCAGCACATCCTTGTCGTTGGCGTTGATGGCGTGGACCAGTGCTGATGCTCCCGAGTGGTCCTCCAGGCTGGGGTCTGCGCCGTTCTCCAGCAGCAGGGACACCACGTCCCCACCGGCACCGCGGATGCAGGCGTGCATCAGGGCTGTTTTCCCGGACTTGTCCTGGATGTTGGGGTCAGCTCTGTTGTCCAGCAGGTACTTCACCATCCTGGGCTTGCTAATGCTCTGCTGGTCAACGTGCCTGGTGATGCAGGCCACCATCAGGGCCGTCTCCCCTCTCTCATTGCTCTCGTTGATGTAAGCCCCCCCTTCCAGCAGCAGCCGGGTGAGGCGGAGCCGCCCAAGCCACACTGCCTTCAGGAGGGGGTTCCCCCCCGTCTCCAGCTCTGTCACCTCATCCATGGCACCGGCCGTTTTTTACTGGTGGGCAATGGGAGCGTCAGCCGGTCGCTGCAGAGGGACCATAAGGAGAGGTGAGGTTTGGTGTCCAGCTCCCCCCCTGCCCTGCCCTGCCCGGGTGCCCTGTGCCCGGCTGACCATGTCCAGCCCACACTGTGGAACCCCAAAGCCCCCCACCCCACACAGTGGGTCTAGTGGAAGGTGTCCCTGCCACAGGCAGGGGATTGGAACTGGAGGAGGTTTAAGGTCCTCCCAATGCAAACCATTGTGTGATTCTATGACTTGGCTGCCAGGGTCCCGGTTGACCTTAATTGCTCTTAATTGCCCTGAGGAGCTCAGCTGAGATCCCCACCCACCTCCCTGCCCCCCTCCCACGGCTCCTGGGCTGGGGCTCTATTTAAATGCAGGGCTCGTCCATGCCAGTCCTGGTGTGATCTATGAAGGTGCAGGAGCCTTCATCCACTCTCTTGCACCAGCTCCTTCACTGGATTTCCCTCGATTACCCAGGATCTGACCACCCCTTACCCTGATGGCTGCTGTTGATGGGACCAGACATGGACTCATCCGTGTCTCATCCCAGCCTGTGCTGTGGTGGTCCTCGGCTTATGACTTGTCTCCTCACAGAGCAGCTCTGCTCTGGCAGCTTCCTACCAGGACACCCTGGTTCATCTCGCCTTGCTCCTCTCCAGCTATGTTGCCCCATGCTGGCATCTGCCTGGATGCACCCGATTTCCCCAAGTGCTAGAGCAATCTGTGCAGTTCTGACCCCAAGGTGGTTTCCGCTAGGTCCTCTATGTCCTTTGGACGGTAACGCAGAGCCCGCTGGAGACAGTGTGAACATCTACAGCTTCTTGTGCTGAAGCCACCACCTCTGCTTCCTCGCTGCTGAAGCTGTGGTCACATTGTCTGTAACCCGTTGCTGCTCGACGCTGGTGTGAGCTGCTGCTGGAGGAGCAGCTTCCACTCCCGGCAGCTCCGCAGCAGCCTGGCTCCGGAGCATCAACAGGCGCTTCCCTGGCACCGGCTGTGGGGAGTTCGGGCAGGTAAGGAAGCAGCCATGGCGTACGACCCGAGCGCCCCATGGCCCTGCTGCCTGTGTCCTCAGGAGCAAACCCATCCCTGGCAGCTGCGAGGCTCCAGGCAGAGGCAGCGGCTCGGAGTGGTGCCGGAGGG